TGTGTGAGTGTGTGTGTGTGTGTGTGTGTGCTTGTGTGTTTAGTGTGTGTGTGTGTGTGTGTGTGTGTGTGTGTGAGCGAGTGCGATATAATTTTTTATCATTTTTATGTATTAGTTATTTTAGTGCTTCAGCTAAATGAAAATAAGTGTTGCGGTGGAATCTAGCTGAAATAAAGTCCGTTTGTATGTTTTCTATCACTGTGATGTAGCTGCGTTTGTGCTGGTGTCAGCAGTGAGAGCTGCGCTCTGATTGGTCGTCTCTCGCTCCAGCAGCTCTTTGATTGGGTGATCAGTTGAAGTTCTCGTCCAGCAGCCAATCAGAGGCCAGGACTGTGTCACACGATGGTAGTGTTTGACAGCGTGACTGAGCCGTGCTCCTCGTCTCTTACAGGCACTACCACAGCATCGAGGTGTTCACGCACTACGACCTCCTGACCCTGAACGGCACAAAGGTCGCGGAGGGTCACAAGGCCAGCTTCTGTCTGGAGGACACATACTGCCCTGAAGGTGAAGCTGCTTCATTAACACAAACAAACCACTCGATCAGGCCTCTCATGGCTTCAGATCACACTAAAGCAGCATTTAAATAAGCTACAACTCATTCAAATTAAGATGATTCTTATTTTAAGCTTGTTAAGTATATGTTAAGAATGAATTTTCTTATTTAATATGTACTATTTTAGCCCCGTTTTTTTTTTTTTTTCAATGACTAGGATCCTAGACCTGGAAAATTCACGTTAATTTAAAAAATCTTAAAACACCATCATTTTTTTAAATGAATATACTTTTTATTGGTTAAGCCAAGGTCTAAAATATTTCAGTATTTAACAGGTAGAAATAGTACAAATATTGTTTTTTTTATAAATCTTTAGTCGTTAAATCCTGATAAGCTGGGGAAAAAGAAAAATAATTTTTGTTATTTATTTTCAGGGGTTTAAAAAATTATCAGAAACTATATTTAAGTGAAAATTTGGATACTGAGTAAAATGTACTTGATTAAAAGTGTAAATATCAGGCCAAAAACATACTTGAGTGGAAGTTAAAAGCACTTAAATTCTACTTTAGTATAAAAAAGTAATTGATTATAAATTAACTGACTGACAGCCCTAATTGTTATTCTAAATAATATTTATTTACTTTAATATAATTAGAATAACACTCTCTGGTAAGAACATGAATAAATATTTACAAAGAATTTAAAAATTTTTAAGTAAGGAATAACTGAATTATTAGAAGATAATGCACTCCTGAGGTGGTGATGTCACCAATATTTTATCAACTATTTATAACATTTAATTTAAAAGAAAAAAAATTAATAGTGGCCATCAAAATATGAATCTTTATATTAATTTTTACTAAATAAATATGATTTTATTGTCATGTTTCAATTATTGTCAATTATTGTTAATTTGATCTACTGAAGCTTATAACTTCAGCTCATTTAAAGCTTTATGCATGATATTTTTACATTTAATCTCTTTATGGATTTTCTGAATTGTATATTTACTTTCAGAACCATGTTTTTGTTTAGCTAGAATAAAATAACACCAAAAAAACTGACTGGATAATAATGAGCCGAGCCTCAAACCTCAGAACACTTTTTGTGCTCTTCAAAAACTTTATTTTATTCAAAACCTTTTTCATTTTCTCTGTTTTTTTTTTCCCTCAAATTTTTTTTTCTTATTCAAAAATTTTTTTCAAATACTTTTTTCGCAGATTTTTTTCTTTTTCAGAGACTTTTCTTTTTTCAAAAATGTTTTTCTTTTTTTAAATGTTTTTTTTTTTTCAAAGACTTTTTTTTTTTTTTTCAAAGACTTTTTAAAAAGACTACTTTCTTTTTTTCAAAGATGTTTCTCTTTTTTCAAAATGTTCTCTTCATTAACTTTTCCCTCTTCAGAAACACTTCTTTTTTCACAAACTATTTTCTGCATAATAATTGGATAATAATGAGCTGATTGTCGGAACAAAAATGTCACAAGTACTTTTCAAAACATAAAATTATAAGGTACGGAAGTTCTAAGCGGCCATGCATTATTATCATTTTTTTCTTTCTTGTTTTCTCGTTATCACGACTTAATTTTCTCGTGATTTCAACAACAAAAGTGGCTCTTTGAACAATTGTTTGATTTTTAAAACACAATGCATTGAGTCTGCTGTTGCTATAGTAACGAACACAACCTTGACGGGGACATTCTAAAGCGCTTAAGGCTTAATGCGTTAATTAAGTGTTTTTGAAAAACCAAACTCATTATACACATTATTAATAATTCATACTATGTACAGACAAGAGATGAGCCCATAATAAGAACGCAATGCGTTTAATTCCGCGTTAAGCGTTTTCCTCCCATAGAATAGCCTATCATAGGACAACACTTAACGTGGCTTAATGCAATAAGGCAGTGTTTTTAAAAGACCAAACTCAGAAAACACATCATTAATATGAAAGCATTGTATGTACAGACAAGCAAATGAGCTCATAATAAGAACGCAATGTGTTTAACGCGTTAAGTGTTACCCATAGAAAACCGTTATAAGAAAACGTTGCGTTGCGTTCGCATCCTGGACTCATCTGCTTGTCTGTACATATTATAATTTATTAATAATGTGTTTACTAAGTTTGGTCTTTAAAAACACTCTCCTAACGCATTAAGCAACGTTAAGTGTTTTACAAGCGTGGCGCCAAAAAGTGTTTGGATTCAACTTACTTTATTTTCCTCATTCGTTTGAAATAAAATTCTATATAATAATATATTATAATAATTTGTTTGTGATTTTTATTAGTCATGTAGGATAGGCTGATATCATGTGCGTTACAAGCTTGGGATGTTGTTATGTGTGAGTGTGTGTGTGCTTTCCTGCAAAGAAATGTAGAAAACACAAAAGATTAGGCTACAACACTGTATAACATCACTGAACTAAATCATACACATATGCACATCACATTTCTTATTAATATACATTTATTAATAATAAAGATTAAAAATAAGAAAGATGCACATTAAAAATACATAGTTGTAAATGAGAAACTGTGATGAGTCGTGCAGCAGTAATAACGTAACGATAACAGATACAATTTCAAGCAAAATGATCATATGTATTCAAGCATTTAACATTTATAAGTTCATTAAATGTCAGTAATGAATTGCACACATTATAGCGATCATGAAGAAGGTCCTCTGTCCCAAACACGTACAGTATGCAACTCCCCATCAGTAGTTCTGTACCGCCACCTGTTGTGTAACTTAGAGAACAACTATTGTTATGTCAATATCACGAGAAAATTAAAAGTCGTGATCACGAGAAAACAAGAAGGTAAAAAAATAATAATGCATGGCCACTTAGAACTTCCGTAATAAGGAGTAAAAATACAGATTTTTGAAGTTCATGTATTTAGTGTAATTTTACACTGGAGTGAAATGAATAACAGTACAGTACAGGAATCATGTAAAAACACTCAAATGTTTCTTGTCATCCTGACTGACGCCGAGCTCGTTAAACAGCGTCTCGTTCTGCTTGGTCTCCACGGTAACAGGCCTGAGCAAACGCTACGCCTGCTATAACATGGGTGATCAGGGCATCAGCGTGGGCTGCTGGGATACGTACCGCCACGACATCGACTGCCAGTGGGTGGACATCACCGACGTGCGGCCCGGAGACTACATCTTCCAGGTCAGAGGTCACGCTCACCCTAACCCTAAACCTGACATTAACATCTTCCAGGTCAGAGGTCACACTCACCCTAACCCTAACCCTAATTAACTATCATAAGGGGTGGCCGAGGCGGCAAGTGGAGAACTTGAAGATGATAAATAACTGCATTGAGGAGGCAGTGTGTAGGCACTGGATGAAACATTTAAACTTGAAATGAAAGGGTCCATAGAAAAAGGCCCATTATGGAAGGGATCAGTTATTAATTTGTCAAGGATTTTGGAGTTATCTCCGGTACAGTTTTCGGTTTTGGACAAGGGTTTATCGTTTATTCCTTCCCATTTGGTTAAAACTTTTGAAAAGACTTCTTTGTTGGCGGATTTAGGCCACTTTTTTGTTAAAATGCAGAGGGCAGTTTTCTTTGGACCGGGCTCGGATTTGGGTCAGGCAAAACCTTTCTGCTCACGGTCAAGTTGGGCTCCTTCACCCCAGGTCTTACCGGGGGAAATTTGGGATTTTTTTGCGAAGAGTGTGAAAGATATCCAGGAGGTGTCCGCGGGAATGCAAGATCTAACTCCTAATTTAACAGTGGCAGAAATACGAGCATTGGAGGAATTGTCTCACAGGAGGGACATTATAATTAAACCGGCGGACAAGGGGGGTGCGATAGTCATAATGGATAGGCCGCAATATGTCCAGGAGGGACTTTGTCAGTTGGAAAACAAAAACTTTTATTCTGGGTTAAAGACTCCAGTCTTTCGGGATTCGATCCCCCGGATTGAGCGAGTGGTGGATTCCCTGGTTGAGGGAGGGTACATCTGTCGGCGACAGGCGGAATATTTGCTGGGGGTTCAACCCAACCCCAGACCAAGACGTTTTTATTTACTGCCCAAGGTCCATAAGCCCCAGGATAAATGGCCAACCCCTTGGATGCCCCCAGGTCGCCCCATAGTCTCCGACTGTGGGAGTGAGAGCTACCGGTGGCAGAATTTATTGATTTTTATTTAAATCCATTATCAACCAAACACCCCAGTTATGTAAGGGATACTTATGATTTTTGGGAAAAAGTTAGGGGTCTCATTGTTCCCCCTGAAGCGTTTTTGTTCAGATGTGGTAAATAATATGTGGGCCTGAAAATCATTGATTTTGCGTTTCTTGGCGGCAAGCCTTGAAATAATCTATTCTATTTGTTCCTTGGGTTGGACTTTGGTTAGTGTAACTTACAAAATAGCTTCGAACACAATGCTAGAACAAAGACTGGAACACTAGACCCCAACCAGACTCCAACTGGGGATCTGGACAGACCCTTGGCTACAAGACACTCGCCTGGGAATGATCACCCTAGGCGGGCCGCCTCGGAGGAGGTTGTCTAGCATTTAAAAAGCCGAAACCCCTGATGATCCCGAGGTATGCTATTGAGAATGTGTCTTAAGTATTTCCCCCATGCCGATGGTTTCTTTGGGGGACTAGGATTGGCAAATAATGCCCTAAAATGACACAAGGTTATACTTTAGGCTGTAAGTCAACCGGCACTTGAAAACTTAACCCTCATAGGCGTAAGGATTATAAGCAGACTGTGTTTGATCCTGGTGCGATGGAAATCTAGTCTTGGACTTTTTTCCCGACTCTCATGTTGTAAGGTCTAGGTCTGTTCTCTCCGGGATAGGAAATCACAGGTACTTAGTGGAGGCTAGGATATAGCCCTGGTATGACACACACATTAAACTTACCCCTCATAGACTTGGAGAGGGCAGGAAATAGCCCTGAACCAACTCACACCCTAAGGGTGCTTTCACACCTGGCCTGTTGTTTCGGAACCTGGCGCGTTTCGAAACAACTTATGAACAATTTATGAAAACAGTCTGTAAATACAGTAAATGAAGCGTGTGCGTGCAGAGAGTTTTCTGTGTATGAAACAATAGCCGTCTGTGAAGAATGATCTCAGTACACACACGTGTCGATGGGAACATCTGCCCCATCAGAGCAGAATGAGCTCATTAGCTGAAAGAATAACGACTTTAAACTGTTATTAGAGCCACGTCTGACCTTCAGCTTTTACTCCGGGATTCTTCTAGTTTCTGCTGAAACCGGAAAAACATCTTCCGTCCGGAGCACAGCATTTCTCTCGCTTTGGTTTTATCTCGCCCTAAAACTTTTTCTCTCTTCAAAAACTTTTCTCTTTTTTCAAATTTTTTCTTTAAAAAAACTTGTTTCTGTCTTCAAAAAAGTTTTTTGTTTTTTTTTCAACTTTTTTTTTTTTTCAAAACTTTATTCACTTTAAAAAAAAAAATTTTTTAAATTCTCTTCAAAAACGTTTTCTTTTATTTTTTCAAAAACTTTTCTTTGTTCAAAAGCTTTTTTTTTCTTTTTCCAGAAACTTTTTTCTCTTTTAAAAAATGACTTTTTTCAAAAAAAAATTCTCTTCAATACGGAAGAGGATTAAGGCCAAGCAATATTAAAAAAATAAAACCATCTCGAGACTAAAGTTGTTACATTTCGAGAAAAAACTCGTTACATTTCAAGAAGAAAGTCAAGATAAAATGTTGAGATTAAACTCATTAAATTTCGAGAATAAAGTCGTTATGTTTCGAGAAAAAAAAGTCTAAATAAAATGTTGAGAATAAACTCATTAAATTAGGAGAAAAAACTGGGGAGTAGCGTATGATACGATCGACTGGGTTCGAGTCCGTCTTTTGCCAAACTCGCTTTTCTTCTTTTCTCATCACATATCACATCGAAAAGATGTAAATCAATTGCTTAACGAGTGTTTAATAATAATGTATTAATTAGGGGTAGGCAGGCTATAGGGAGGGCGTTGTTGTCCCAATAAGGCAGCATCTATTTAATAATTTCAATAAATACAATCATTGTTATTAAAATCAATGTTATTATTGCATCCTGTTAATGTACAACAATACTGAGGTGCGAATAATGTCTGCCACTATTTATAAGCATAAATAACATCTAATTAGCTACTATTTACATTTATTGCAAAGATCTGCTACTTTTACATAACATAAATAGAACGGCTATTTTCACTTAGTGTAAATAGCACATATAACTATTTTTACTGTAAATAGCATCTAGGGGTGTCCAAAGTGTGCTTAAACGTTTTTCCAGAAACATTTTTCTTTTTTCTGTCTTCAAAAAACGTAAAAACATATTTCTTTTCAATTATTTTTCTCTTCAAAAAACATTTTTCTTTTTCAAAAACTTTTTTCTCATTTTAAAAAACTTTTCTGTATTCAATTTTATTTCTTTTTTCCAGAACCTTTTTCTGTTTTCAAAAACTTTTTTTCTGTTTTTTCTTTCTGCAAAATTGTTTTCTCTCTCTTAAAAAACGTTTCTCTGATATTTTCTCAAACATGAGAGAGAATAAAAATGATGTCTAGCTAACATTAGCATGCAGTACACACCTCAGCCAGCAGGCGCCGCTGTCAGCTCGCAGGAAATATAATGTTACTGTAACTGGACATTTGTCTCTCATGTTACTGAGGAGAAATAAAACAGTTTTTGAAGATAGAAAAAAAATGGGAGAGAAAGGAAACTCAGAGAGAGAGAAAAATCTTAGGATTTTGGCTCAGGAAGGATCTGAGGTGTTTATGAATATCAGAGTTTATCCCTGTTAGGACGATAAAAATAAGTCCTTTTCTTTATTGAAGTGGCTTAATATTTATGTAATTCATGTGATTATTTAATTGTGTTTACATTTCACATTTTTTTATATTCCCCTTTACCAGAGCTGCCAAAAAAAACCTTTTAATACGAGAAGCCAAAAATCAAACTATATTATATTAAAATCTTACATTTATAACATTTGTATATCATTTTAAAAAAAAGATTTTTAAATGTTTAAATTATTTTTAATCAATTTCATTTTTATTGTTTTTTACATTTCAATGCAAAAATAAACTTTTGATAAATAAAAGTTTGATTTACAATTTGATTTAAAAATGTGAAAAAAAATAGTGTTTTAATTATAAAAAAATACATTTCATATATTTTAAGAAAATATAGTTGGATGTAATGCAACGTTTCATTTTTTTGCCCACAGCCCTCAATCCAGTTTGATTTCTGGCTCTTCTTTTTAAAGTTTGAATCTCTTGGTTTCCACACGCGTGTGTTTGACTCGATCACGGGCTGTTTTTCTGAGATCCTGGCCATGATTCCAGTCATTCAACTATCAGACGACAAATAAAGCCTGAATCTGATCTGAGATCAGTGCTTCCACAGCTCAGAACATCTCACACACACACACAATCACTCACTCACACACTATCACTCACTCACTCACTCACTCACTCATACACACACACACACACTCACTCACAC